TTCTTCAAGTGCTTTACAATGAATTAACTTAATCAATGCTTACAACCCAAAACATGAAAAGCTTATTGTCACCATCTTCTTTTTATTAGCTGCATCAATATCACATGTAAAATGACTCGGAAATACGTCCTAGACAAGCCATTCTGGCCTTTCTTCATAGCTACTGAGATTTTTAAATGTATATTGTATTCACAGAAATGGTGGTCTTGAAATGAGTTGCACAACAGCCTTTAAATAGAACACAGGTAATGAGAGAAGGGATTGTGCCATATTACATGGTTTTAGCACTCCAACATCCTTTTCCAAAGTTAAACACAGTATTATTGTAAAATGTACATTAAGAGTAATAACTGAGCAATTAGGAAAGAAGAAGGAAAAAAAGGAATACAAATAGGTAAAGAAACTGTCAAAATATCCCTATTTGCAGACAATATGATCCTATAGCTTAAAGACCCAAAAAACTCTACTCAAAAGCTCCTAGATACCATCAACAACTATAGCCAGGTAGCAGGATATAAAATCAACATAGAAAAATCATTAGCATTTCTATACACTAATAATGAACAAACTGAGAAAGAATATATGAAAACAATTCCATTTACAATAGCCTCAAAAAAAAATCAAATACCTAGGAGTAAACTTAACAAAGGATGTGAATGACCTCTACAAGGAGAACTACAACTCCCTAAAAAGAATTTCAGGAAGACTACAGCAGGTGGAAAGATCTCCCATGTTCGAGAAGAATTAATTTAGAATGTATCAAATATGTACAGGGAAGCAATCAGAGTAAACTCCTTGTACAGCTATCCTTATCTCAACTAGCAAAAACCCTTGGTCCTTCCTATTATTGCTTATACTCTCTCTTCAACAAAATTAGAGATAAGGGCAAAATAGTTTCTGCCTGGTAGCGAGGGGGTGGGGGGGGAGGGAGGGGATGGGGGAAAGAGAGGGGGTTGGGGGAAGGGGGGAGAAATGACCCAAACATTGTATGCACATATGAATAAAAGAAATTTAAAAAAAAGAGTAATAACTGGGGGGGGGGGCAGGGGGGAGAAATGTCCCAAACAGTGTATGCACATATAAATAAATGAATAAAAAACAAACAAAAAGAGCAATAACTAACTTAACCTAACTACTTTTTCTCTCTCTTTTTTTTTTTTAAATGTACTATATCTGAAAATAATCTGCTTTGGAAAATCTTCACCTCTAGGTTAACTAACTTGCAGGAAAAGTTTGTTTTCTTCCATTTTAAAGCCTAAACAATACACCAAGTGGCCTTTTGAAAACTGTTGTTACCTGATCAAACATTTTTACCTTTGCCCCCAGATCCAGAACAAAGCTCAAGTAGCAATCCAAGTCTCCCCAGTTTACAAGGGAAAGAACACACCAACTTGAGCCTTGAGGGTCAAGAAGGCCCAGTCTGGGTTCTGTTTTAGGGAAATTAATCTCTCTATTCTCAAAAAGTTAGAAGGTGCAATAAAACCTGCTGTGGCCTTGAACAAGACAAATGCATGGACGGTAAACTGTTTTAAATTGGATGCCCAATATGGTCTTTAAATAAAAAAGGACAAGGTGGACAACCAACAAATTTCCATTAGTAAAATACAAATATGTTCATAACACTGCATATTTATTTTCGTTAAGTTCCCCATTCCCCTCATCTCAAATCATTTAGTAGGAAGTAGGCACTCAGTAAAGTGTAATGAACAAATGAACTAATTTCTGCCTTAGCACACCATGGGAGAGACTAATGAATGAGTTCTGAATTTGCATGTTTGTTTCCTATGTTTAAAATATTTTAGCTGGAGTTTCCCATCATTTGTGTCAAAAGCTAAAGTTGATTGCTGCCTATCTCTTGTGTTTAGAATAAACTGATCTGTTTTGGGAATTTCCCTGTTTCCTTAAACTTTCAGTTTGATTCTGTGGCATGTAGCAATGAGTGACTCCATTTTAGTTTGTTTTTTTGGAGTCTAGTACATCAGCTGAGTCCAAAAACCATGGCCTCCCATAAGTTTAACACTTGGCTTTAAGAAAAATAAGTCTACATGTGTTTAATTATAAGTTCTTCTATTAGAAAGTGAACTTGGGAACAAGACATGCAAAGTGGACCCCAAACATCTCAAGCAGAGAGGTAGCTGATAAGAATCAGAGACCAGAGCACACTGAAGTGACATCTTAATCTGAACTCCAGGGCCATCCTGACTTTACAACTAGTGCTTGCTCTATTATCAGTCACAGCCTATCAAGAAGGCTTGGAGAACCTGGATGGTTCGCTCTCAACACTAAATGACCATTGTGGAGCAGGGAAATTTCAGAGGCCAAGAGGATTCAAAGCAGAAGAAAGGCAATTTTGATGCTATCACTTTAAAGCTACCCAGCAAAACAATGGATTTCTTCTAAAAGCATGAATTCCTTTCACTGGAAAAGCCACCAGCTGGTTTGTCACCTCTCAGAGATACTCTGAGAATCTCTGCATTGAATGAGATGGTTCCATGGCTTCTTTTTCAATTGCTAAGTCTCTCTCTCTCTCCAAACCACCCTTACCCCAGTTAACACAAAACCTAAATTGCTTTCAGAACTAGAATGAGTTTACATGGAACATAGTTTTAGATGGTCTCACTGATCCAAACCCTAAGCAGTGCCAAGCTCCTATCACAGATCTCTGAGGTGTCTGAACTGTACGTCCAAATGGCTTTAGAATATCTCCATTGTTGTACACTTTCAAGCTGCCCAAACCTACACTTTTCTCCTTTCTGATGTCTACTTTGCATCTCAAATACAAGGCTCCTTCTGAAGTTCCTTAGAATATCCCTGTACTCCCAGCTTCTTACTCTCACATGAATTCAATCTCTCAGCCTGTTGATTCTGTCTCACAACTGTGACTTACATACTTTAGTTCCCATGCCTTGTTCAAGCCCTTGTCACATCCTCCAGGCTCCAATGCCTAACCATTGCCTAACCCACACCCAATCCCACACAGCATGCCCACATTGACATTTTTCACCACAAATGTTGCCGTGTCTCTCCTATGCTCAAATTCCATCAAATGGACTCTGAAGATTTGCTACCCAAAGGTCCATGTGTTAAAAATGTGATCGTTATAGTGGGGTTAGGGGGTAAGACTTAGTGGGAAGTTACTGGGAGCTATAATCAAAGAGTGTTGTGGAACCATGACCTCTTCCTCTTGGCTCCTAGGCTTGTGAGGTAAACAGTTTTGTTTTGCCATATGCTCCTGCCATGACCTATTGCCTTGCCACAAGCCCAAAACAATGGGCTAATCAACTGTGGACTAAAACCTCTAAAACTGTAAGCCAAAATAAATCTTTTCTCTTTATAGGTTAATTATCTCACATATTTCATTTTAGTGAATAGAAGCTGACTAGTACATTGTCATTTAACACTCTAAGGCTGCTTACATACACTTAGTTCAACAATAAGTAATACAGTACTTAAATTGTCCACCAGAAATGTGGACTACTATACTAGTTCTGGTGCTTAATAGTGGTGTGGGTTAACTAACCTTTTTAAAACTTAGTTTCTTTAGTCTCCCCTCCCCTCCCCTCCTCTCCTCTCGTAAAATTGTGCTATTGTATGGATCAAGAGGAGTAAATGTAAAAATGCAGAAACCTGGCAAGAGACATGTTTTTATCTGCCTGAACTCCCTTTATTCTAGACATTCTTTCTCTCTTCTCCTCTTCCACCCCATGCATATACTTATGTGCATCTACAGATGATTGGTCTAGGGAAGTCCACTTGACCCAAGTTGAGCCAATTAGTCATTCCATGGACAATGAAAGAAAGATAAAGGTAGGGGAGGGAGAGACAGAGACAGACAGAGAGGAAAAATGAAGGATATTACAAAAGGGAAGAGTACAGATTAGAAATAGAGAATCCAAATGGAGTCCCTAGTTCTGAGTTGTCTTTGGAACACCTGAATAACTTCAATGCTTATAATAAATTTCCCTTGGGTGACTGCCAATTGCAATCTAAAGAGTCTAACCACACTCATCTCTCAACACATGCTCATTATACTATTATAATTAAACCATAAACACCTTGAAGGCACGGGTAGAATCTTACTTGACTTTGTATCCTTAGGGACTAGCACAGTGCTTGATGTACAGCAGGCAGACACCTGCTGAATGAAAGGTTTATTGACTTCAGAAGAGAAATTTTAACTTGGGGATAAAATTCTTTAAAAAAAAAGCTTAAAAACCTAGAGATACTATCCTATGCTAAGAGGCAAAAGAGAATAACAACAATAATAACAAAAGGTAGCAAATTTTTTTGTTAGTTATGTCCAGAATGAGCCAGGGGAATACACATATGATAGTCACTGTTCAGGAATATTTAATCTCCTTGAATACCTTTGAACTTATCAATTGAGCTAATCAAGGTTTATTTTGAGGATTAAAAAATAATTTTTTTATGAATAATGTTAAACCCATGTAGAAAACTACTATTGAAGCTTATCACCAAGAGACAGTAAGATGTTCAGTCATGAGCTGTTCTGTCATTAGCAATTTAGCAACTGAGGAAAACAAATCACACTCCCAACCATGACCCTGGGACATGGAAGAACTTACATAAGTCTCACAAACTGTTGGAAATGCCACAGAGTCAAAGTTAGGTAACTGTTTATATTCCTTACTGCATTTCAATCTAGAGATTAAAATAGACCTTACTGTTCCAGAATCCTTGCTGTAATAAGAAATAGGCTCTGAATGGCTGAGACGGAATTTTAATTGCAGAACCAGGAGCATAAGAGAGGAAATGGGGGGGGGGGGCTGTTCTTCATAAAAAGGGCATGAGGGCAATTTTTAAATGCTGGTTGCAACATATCCCTTCTGCCTTGACACGAAGTATAAATTAATTACTAAATAATGACACAAAATTCTTATGTCTTACATGTCCAAAATACTTTTTAAACTTATTCATTCCTTAAAAGTCTACAGTCCAAAAATTTGAGAATAAGATGGCTGATTTACTTGATACATAGTTTGACCAACACCAATATCAAATAGTGGTTAGATCCACTATTTCTTACCAGGAAATTGTACAAACCTGTAATGTAATAAAGTACACCAAATGCTTACAAATGCAACTTATGATATGTTTCTATGAGAGGGTACATTGAGAATTCCACCCTCTGTTGTTTAGAATGGTTCTCAAACTTAAGTGTGCCTTCGAGTCACCTGGAGGACTTCTTAAAATATGATTTCTCAATTCCACTGCAGAGACTGTCTCGGTAGATGGTAGGACCTGGGGGAGCTCCCAAGTGGTGAGCCTTGCAGTTCACTGATGACAACTGAGTAGCACTCACCTAGATGAAACACGGCGACTTTGCTTTAGCCAGAGACTGGAATTTCCGTGTCTCATTATACTAAGCCTGTGATTCTCCTAGTTTGTAAATACACAGCTCAAAAACCACTACCAGGGGAATGGAAAGGAGAACCTGGGGAGGCATGGAGTTAGGCTGACAGGAACATGAACTTGGGCGTAAGAGTGGGGGATAGTCACCATGAGTGCCAGGCGCACTACTGAAGTCACCGTTTCCTGCTCCACAAAATGGCCACCATGCTCCACACACATGTGGTCACATGCCTCGCCAGTTTCAGGTCTGTGACTGGAAAAGCTGCACTCGGAAGAGCAAGGGCTGGTTGAACCAGAGAAATCCCACAGCAGCACCAATCCAGGGGAACTGAGCGAGCAGGCAGAGAGACAGGATGCAAGGAGGCCCGGATTGCCGGAAGACGAGTTCTCGTGAGACCTCGAAAACTCCAATATTGAAACTAGGGTATTAGTGAGAAAGGGCAGCCCCGCCCCTGGATGAGGAGTGCGCGGGGGACAGGATTGGCTGGGAAATCACGCGAGAGGTTTGAACCCAGAGCGCGCAGTCGCCGGGCAGAAGTCATAACGACAGTGAGAGCACACACGTCGTACGTGCGGACGTTGAGGTCTTACCCCGCGGCGGGTGCTCGGAGCCGCAGTTCCTCCGCAGAGAGGGCCTTGGTGGTGAAGCTAACCCTCGCTCACCAGTGGAGTACTCCAAGTTCTGGTACTTTTCCAGGATGAGTCATGTGCCAGTGGGAAATGCGCTGGGCCTGGACCAGCAGTTTGCTAGCCTAGACCTGAACTCTTCAGATAATCAGACTGGAGGAAGTACAGCCAGCAAAGGGCGCTATATCCCTCCTCATTTGAGGAACAGAGACGCCACTAAGGGGTTCCACGACAAAGACAGTTCAGGGTGGAGTGCTAGTAAAGACAAGGACGCTTACAGCAGTTTTGGGTCTCGGAGTGAGTCAAGAGGCAAGTCTAGTTTCTTCAGTGATCGTGGAAGTGGATCGAGAGGGAGGTTTGATGATCGCGGACAGAGTGACTATGATCGCCTTGGCAGCCATGCAGATAGAAGTAGCTTTGGAAAATTTGAACGTGCTGGAAACAGTCACTGGTGTGACAAATCAGATGAAGATGACTGGTCAAAACCACTCCCACCAAGTGAACGCTTGGAACAAGAACTCTTTTCTGGAGGCAACACTGGGATTAATTTTGAGAAATATGATGACATTCCAGTTGAGGCGACAGGCAACAACTGCCCTCCACGTATTGAAAGTTTCAGTGATGTTGAGATGGGAGAAATTATTATGGGAAACATTGAGCTTACTCGTTATACCCGCCCAACTCCAGTGCAAAAGCATGCTATTCCTATAATCAAGGAGAAAAGAGACTTGATGGCATGCGCCCAAACAGGATCGGGAAAAACCGCAGCATTTCTCTTGCCTATCTTGAGTCAGATTTATTCAGATGGTCCAGGTGAGGCCTTGAGGGCCAGGAAGGAAAATGGAAGGTATGGGCGCCGCAAACAGTACCCAATCTCCTTGGTACTGGCACCAACGAGAGAACTGGCAGTTCAGATCTACGAGGAAGCCAGAAAATTCTCATACCGATCTAGAGTTCGTCCTTGTGTGGTTTATGGTGGTGCTGATATTGGTCAGCAGATTCGAGACTTAGAACGTGGGTGCCACTTGTTAGTAGCCACTCCTGGTCGTCTAGTGGATATGATGGAAAGAGGAAAGATTGGATTAGACTTCTGCAAATACTTGGTGTTAGATGAAGCTGATCGGATGTTGGATATGGGGTTTGAACCTCAGATCCGTAGAATAGTTGAACAAGATACTATGCCTCCAAAAGGTGTCCGCCACACTATGATGTTTAGTGCTACTTTTCCTAAAGAAATACAGATGCTGGCCCGTGATTTCTTGGATGAATATATTTTTCTGGCCGTAGGAAGAGTTGGGTCTACTTCTGAGAACATCACACAGAAAGTCGTTTGGGTGGAAGAACCAGACAAACGGTCATTTCTACTTGACCTCCTAAAAGCAACAGGCAAAGATTCACTTACCTTAGTATTTGTGGAGACCAAAAAAGGTGCAGATTCTCTGGAGGATTTCTTATACCATGAAGGATATGCTTGTACCAGTATCCATGGAGACCGTTCTCAGCGAGATAGGGAAGAGGCTCTTCACCAGTTCCGCTCAGGAAAAAGCCCAATTCTAGTGGCTACGGCAGTAGCAGCAAGAGGACTAGATATTTCAAATGTGAAACATGTTATCAATTTTGACTTGCCTAGTGATATTGAAGAATATGTACATAGAATTGGCCGTACAGGACGTGTGGGAAACCTTGGCCTCGCTACCTCATTCTTTAATGAGAGGAACATAAATATTACTAAGGATTTATTGGATCTCCTTGTTGAAGCAAAACAAGAAGTGCCATCTTGGTTAGAAAACATGGCTTTTGAACATCACTACAAGAGTAGCAGTCACGGACGTTCCAAGAGCAGTAGATTCAGTGGAGGCTTTGGTGCCAGAGACTATCGACAAAGTATTGGTACTAGCAGCTCCAACTTCAACAGCAGTCGTGCCAGCAGCAGCCGCAGTGGTGGAGGTGGCCACAGCAGCAGCCGAGGATTTGGTGGAGGAGGCTATGGAGGCTTTCACAACAATGATGGATATGGTGGAAACTATAACTCCCAGGGAGTTGACTGGTGGGGTAACTGAGCTTGCTTTGCCAAACAAGTTAATATGGAAACCACATGTAACTTAGCTGGACTATACCTTGTGTAGCTTCAAGGGTTCCTGCACATTACCAGCTGTGATTCTTCACTGATTTATTATTATTAAAAAAACCTCAAAGTTACAAGAAAAAATGAAAGGAACAATCAACAGCCCTGTTTCAAAGATGGTTTAAAGACTTCATTGCTGTAGTTTGGATTAACTACCCCCATCCCAAACTGCTTTATAATTTTGTGACTGAGGATTATTTGTTTGTTAATGTACTGTACCTTTAACTTTAGATAAGTTTTTATTTTGATGTTCTGTTGGCTCAGTAATGCTCAAGATATCAATTGTTTTGACAAAATAAATTTACTGAATTTGAGCTAAAATTTTTTTTTAAATGCACCATGTCTGGGGTTAAGTGCATTTGTTTCCAGGGAAGTATTTTACATATCTGCTTGTTTTCATGAATATAAAAGGCAAAAAGAAACTTAAAATAGTATCCATAACTCTATAAACAGACTTTAACTCCAATCCAAAAGGTGACATTGCTCTAAAATACCCTCACAGATTTCAGAAAATTACAATAGCAATTTATAGAGTAACTGAACAAATAGCTGACAAGTTTTTAACTAGCTACAAGCACTAAAGCTATATAGACTTTTTGAAATGCAAGGTTATGTTTTTGTAATTTAAGTATTTGCTGATAGTTTACAGTTTTAAACTTTCACATTACTCTTTTAAAGCTCAAATTCAACTTCTGTTTAACATAGGTGTTAATGAATATTTCATAACAAGGTATGTAAATCTGTATTATTACTGTGATATTTGGGATATAGTAAAATTTAAAAAAGCAATATTGTACTGTCTTGTCTGCAAAAACAATTGTGTGTGTGTGTGTGTGTGTGTGTGTGTGGGTTTGTGTATGTATATAGAAACAAAATATTGAATTAGTAAATGGGAGACTAATGTTTAGGTACTAAAAGATACCTAAAGGGAGTTTATGTGGGAAGGATGGAGTGAAAATAATAATGAAAACTAAATTCTTTAAAGTATGTATATTTTAAAAGATCTTCTGAAGATTAAATAAAAATGAAAAAATCCTATAATTGAAACTGTAAGAAACTTAAAAGGATTATGAGATAAAATCTAAAGGAAAGAAACTGTAAATATCTTAAATTTGCTCAGCATTTTTACTGTAGAAATATCAGCACAAAAATTTGAAACTTGTTCGTAATCATAAGGATACAGAGAATGTCAATGTCATTTGTTTAATGCAGAGGCAATAAATAAATAAGTCCAAGTTAAGAAAAAAACATTGTAATACTAAATATGTATTGCAACTGTCAATATGAACTCAACTGTTGAAACGAATATTTTACAGTGTCAAAGTATTATCTCACATATAAGTTGTGAATTTTGTGGAGAAACACATAACGGGGGCAATTAGCCAAGCACTCAAATGTGCAGCCCAATGTTAGGAGTGAGTCAGGCCTCCTGATGTGATGTGAGAGGACTGCACAACATCACCGGTGAAGTACTCTCCCCACGCTAGCATAGCCTTGAGGCATATATTCCAGAATATAAGATACAAAGAAGATAAAGAATTGGGCTGAACAATATCTTAAAGGAAACACCAGAAAAACTTAAAACATGTCACATGATGTGGACAAATAGCTTGGTTTCTTAAAAATGTCAACCTAAGCTAGGTGTGGTGGGGCATAGCTATAATCCTAGCACTCAAGGGAAGAGGCAGATGATCACAAGTTCAAGGCCAGCCTGGGCTACAAAGAAGGAAGGAGGGAAGAAGGGGAAAGTGAAGATGTGGATGACATATGTTAGATACTCGAGTCTATGAAACAATGAGAAGAATCTGGCTGGTAATTAATGATTTTGTGCTTATATAGGAGGATGTGCTTGTTTTTTAGGCAACTCAAATGGAAATATTTAATGGTGAAGTATTTTTTAAAGGATCAAAGCAAACTAGCAAAATGTTAATAACTTCTCTTAGGCAAAAGGTATTCAGGTATTCATTGAATAAATGTTCAAAATGTTTAATGAAAAGTTGTGAGAAGAATCTGTATCTTGCTTTAATCCTATGAGGAAATGAAAAAAATTAAAAATGCATGCAATAAAACAGTAAAAAAGAAGTACACAAAATTCAAGATAATGGAAAAAAGAATAAAAAAGATAAAGGATAAGGGGAGTTCAAGTGCCCATATGTTGAGGCTTAATTTGAGATTAAGCCTCAAATGTAGCTCTCAGTTTCCTGGTTACCACAGCAGAATAAGAACTATGGTCACTGCTACCACCTTCCATCCAAAGGCCAAGGTTACCAGTTCTATAGGGAAACTAAAAGCTGGTTGAGAAGGAAATTTCTCTTCCCATGGGTCTTCTTATGGAGTGGACTCATTGCTAAAGAGAACAATACCATCAACATCACCCTCACAATAAATGCAAGAGGAAGAGGAAGGGAGAGCTTTACTCCTCTCTCTCTATGTAGGCTAAGAATACTCAAGTGCATTGAAAACCCTTTTGGGAGGAGCAGGTAGGTAGGGATGAAGAATAAGGGCAAAGATCACAGAAATGAACACACTGCCATCATTCAAATGAACTTTCTGTAATGCCACTTGCTCCACAAGGACTTCTGATAAAGAGCTGGATTGAAAACAAAAACTGAAAATATATGAAAATGTTTGTTTGTTGCTCATATGTAGAAATCAATTTGATTTTGGTATGTTAAAAAAAGTAGATTAATTTTTTAAAAATCTGAGCAGCTCAACATTTCCTGTTAATACTCTGGCAGGTCATTCACCTTAAAGTGCTAATGACTTTCTGGAAGATTAAATAGATCAGGACCAGAACTTTTCTTAAAACCTACTTTGGTTTGTTGTCACTCAAGAATCTAGAAAATCTTAAAGTTCGATGCTGAATACTGATCCTTTCCCACAAGCTTTACCCTCTGTGCCTTACCCACATACCAACTTCTAATTATTTGGGGTAGGGATGAGAGACAAATTACCTGCAGCTTAGTTTCTCCACCTTAAGACAAGGATAATTTAGCATTTAATCTCTCAGTTTTATGAAGATTAAATACATTTTCTAACAATCTGTGGAAGCCTGGCAAACTGTAAAGCCTGTAGAAGCATCACTATGACCCACTTATTTTTTTTTCAGCCTAAATAATAACCATGAGATCACAGGTGTCACATTGAAGCTTTACTTTTCCCTAACAGACGCTGAGAAAAATGTGCCTCCTGAGTCATGTTGTGTCCACTGGAAATAAGTAAAGGTTTGTCTTCCTTCTAGGAGGCAGGATGATACAAATGCTATATAAAAAAATTAAACACTTGAAAAGTATATGTGGAGGACAGAGCAACATTTTCTCCTGATGGTCAAGATATGGTGCTGGTGATCCTGCCCCTCACCTAACAGTGGAGGCTCTGTGTGAGCTTCTGGGGTCAGCCACCTACTGACCTAATGAAATGCTCTCTGAACCAGTCATGGGCAAATGTAAAAGAAAGCTCAATGCAAGTTACTTTGTGCTGGGTGGGGTGGTTCTCACCTGTGATTCCAGGTACATGGGAGGCAGAGATGGAAGGGTCATGGCTTGAGGCCAACCCAGGCAAAAAAAGTGAGATCCTATTTCAAACAACAAGCCAGGTGTTGTGGTCCATACCTGTAATTCCAGCTATGTGGGAGGTGGAGGTAGGAGGACTGTGGTCTGAAGGCAGCCTGAAAAATAAACTAAACTAAAAAGTGCTCGGTATATGGCCCAAGTGGTAGAGCCCTTAAAGTGTGGAAATGAATTCACACCCTGATACTGCCACAAAAAAATAAAATAAATGAATAAATAAAAAGCTACTGTTTAAGATGCTCTAGGGAAACTTCCACACATGATAAAGAATATACTGATCCCATCAACAGTAGAATAAATAGGCCTAAAGCCATGGTGACCACTTGTCCCTGCTTGCCCAGGGCCATCCTTGGTTCTTGCACTGCAGGTCCTGCTTTCTTAGTTCCCAGCAAACAGGACACTGACGACCCTTCCTAAAGCCCATGTCCTTCTTTAAGAGCCAGAGTCTGGTGTTTTTTTAGGTTGGAAACTAGCATAGATATTAGACAGAGCATCCAACAAACTACTGGGTGTGAAACCGAGGAAGAGAGAAATGCGCAAACTGTATATCAGAGATCTCCAGACGGGATCATCTCTGGGGTAAAGGATGGAGACAGGTTGCCATGGCATAAAGACTCTCTCTCTCAGATCACACTCTCAATATGAAGGTGGAAAAGTGTTAAGGTTTTAATTAGCACTGAGAAAAGGTGACTTCTTAGGAGTCAGCAGTCAAAGGACAATTTATTACATTTGAAACAAATTCCTTAGATCCTTGGGATTTCAAAGTGCAAAAAATCTGACCTTTCAGATGTCAGTGAGAAGTTAAAGACCTCCATCTAAAGTACCCATGTCACTTCAGGTCTCTCCAACTGTGTAGGTGCTGTCTCGTGAAGGGCAACAACTGAGTCCTGCTTTCCTGCTTCTTTGCCTGGCTGGTGATTTTTGATTGGATTACAGACATGGTGAATTTTACCTTACTGAGGATTGGATATTTTTGTATACCTATAAATATTCTTGAGCTCTGTTCTGAGATATAGTTACTTGGAAAGAGTTTGTTTCAAGATTTTCTTTTAAGATGTGTTAGAAATATAAAAAATACCTTAAATAGTAGAGAATAATTAGGCCTAGAGGCTAGGGAAAGAGAGGGAAGGAAAAGGAAGGGAATCAGTGTGTCTCAGTCTTTTTACTAGCACTTTCCTAAGGAGAAAATTATATTTAAATTCTTCCTAATGGGAGAAATTAAATACTAAGGAAAGAGATTCGTCAGGTAGAGCAATACCATTGTAATGTATAAGATTTTTTTGTGTAACCCTCCACCCCTGCTAAGAACCAATTTTTCCATAGGGTGTTTCAGTACTAAAATGTTCCATGTTTTGGCAAAAGGGGTAACAATACCTACTAACTGTGCAGACTTCACATGTTCCTTACAGTGAATAAAAACATTACTGAAGACTTCCAATACCCTTCCACTTGGCTCAAGGCCTATTCAAAGCACTCTCCTCACTCTTACCCCGACTACCTGCTTCATTTGTATTATACCCATGATTTTCCTTCTGTTTCAGTGGCTTCCACAGACCACCTTGTGTTATAATTAGATAGTCAGGTATATTCCTACCCCATGAGATTGGCAAAAACACAGTCAGAACTCAGCATTATTCATCTTCATGCTGTCCAGAGGTCGGTACGTAAGTACAAATCAGTATGTTACAGGCATCAAACATTGGCTGGCCTGTCCCTGGGGTTCCTTGCACAGCTGGCAGAAGTGGCTAACTGATGTTCCCTTATCAGCCCTGGCATATGTAGTTGTGAAGTTGGAACAGTCTTTTATGTGCATTTGTTTTTCATAATTTACAACTTTCCTTCTAAAAGTTCACTTTTCACCAACCACCTACAAATATGTGATCTCTCTCCTCTGCTGTCCCCACTTTCATAGATCAGAAATTGTAGGTAAGTGGCCATTTCTATCATGTTCCACCAGGTCTGTCAATACCTTAAAAGCTGTCCCTTGAGACAGGTGCAGTGGCTCATGTCTGTAATCCCAGCTATAAGAGAGGTAAAGGTAGGAGAATCTTAGTTTAGGGGGCCTGAGCA